TTATAAATTTAAATAATTTTGTTTTCTCAGAATGTATTTTTGTCATATGAAAATTTGCTGTTGTATGTCTATGAACTACTTATTAGGAACACATTGGGTGTACGAAGTGGTCAAACTCCTCATGACGGATCGGGAAGAACTCACTGACACTGTTAAAGAAGGCACCATGTTCCCGGAGGCGTGCGCTGTGGAGTCCCTGGAAAAACTGCCGTCGCCAAGGGTTTTAGATACACATGTGCCGCTGAAGCTGTTTCCAGAAGAAGCATTGAAGAAATCTAAGATTATCTACACACTACGGAATCCGAAGGACGCCTTCGTGTCTGGATATTATCATGTGAAAAACAACGTAGGGTCGGGGTATGATGGAACTTGGAATGGGTGCTTCGACTTAACTATAGACGAAAATACATGTAAATATATATTTTTGTCGACATAGAGTATTCTCTAGAAAACGTTCTTCATAACACAAGAATGAATAATTTAATATGGAAATTTTAAACGCATTTGTTAAGATGTTTCATTTTTGCTGAAATTCCAGTATTCTCACAACTGCCCCATGCTCCCTGACTAGCATCTGGCCAAAACAAATTTTTTGAAAATTTTTTCCAAATGGAGACCATTTTCGGCGTGAAATGTGACAACAGATTTTGATTTTGTCTTCCGTTCCATTTTCTTAACTCTCAGTACTCATGCCGCATTATTCATTATTTTCTTAAAACAGTAACATATAAATATTTTATTAATTATTGTCAAATAATGCTTATTTAACACAGTACTGGTTTTATTTTGATACTGAAAATTCGAAATTAGGCTGTTTTTCCGCTTATAGTTATTATGTATTCAAATATTGTTAAACATAAAAGGATAAATGCAATGTCTGCAATGGCATTCTTTCAATTAGGTGTGTACGGATCTTGGTTCGACCATGTTGCGGATTGGATGGAAGTTTTAGAAAATAACCCCAATGCTTTGGTGGTCAAATATGAAGACATGCAACGGGTATGGCAGTTAGCCATTTCATTTTTTCATTTCAATTTATTCATTATAACAAGCTTTCTCTTAAAAACCTGGTTCACACCAGCTAAACTTTTGCCTAGCGAGGAGACTGCTTTTTGTATACACACAGGTAAGAAGTTTATCGAGGTTGTATAAGTTTCAATTGGGAAAAATATTAAATGACCAATGCATATGTCCTAATGTTCATACTGTATTAGAAGCTGATAGAGTCCAAATCATCGGAGTAATATTATTGAAGGTCAGGGATCTGCGAAGTGTTTTGCATTTTATCTGAAAGTTTGAACGTTTATTAAAAAAGTGAATGTTTCAGTGCATTTGATTGTAAGAGAGGGAGAGACAGAGATAAACAAAAACAACCCAAAATCATTCTTTTCAATTTCTAGAACCTGAAGAAAGAGGTACGCCGCATTGCAGAATTTCTGGGGTATCCCAAATCCGAAGAGATCTATGAAAATGTGACTAAAAAGTGCTCTTTTGGGCACATGAAGAAAGCAAAAAAAGAGGTGAAATCTTTCTGGAAGCCAGGAGGCAGCATGTACAGAAAAGGCAAGAGAAGCTGATTTGTCCTTTCGTATAGCAGACACTCACAACTGTCATATTTTAAGGATTTCTAGTTGTAAAGTTATAGACTATTTATGTCGTGTTCGTTAGAAAACACATTTTCTTTTATTTATTATAATATTTTTTGTCTCTTTGTAGGTATTGTTGGTGACTGGAAGAACCATTTCACTGTAGCGCAAAACGAAAAATTTAATGCCATCTTCAACGAGAAGCGAAATAAACTTAGAGTGAGCGTTGACTTTGAGCTTTGAAGAATGTATTTGGGCCAATAATTTACCAGTATAGGTCAATGGCACGTTTTCATAATTGTTCATCTAAGGGTTTTAAGATGTTTTCTACAATACTTTTGCACCAAATCTAATTTTAGTCGAGAAAAAAGTGTTTTTCTCTTATGAACTTACGGGCCATTGCTTGAGCCAGTCAGATGTTTATGCCAATTCGTATTCAATAATTATCCATTTTAGAAAGATAAATCGGCATCGCTTACTTTTTGCCTACTAATTTACATGTAGCTTGGGGCAAATAGGCGGTTTTGCAGGGTATTTATACTTAAATGTGATTTTGGGACATTTTAAAATGCGTATAGTATACCTTTAAATTGTGATCTTACAAAACCACTCCGAGAACCATGTTTCTGTGAAATAGGTATTGAAAACGTGGAATATAGAGCTTTATCGCATGTGTTGCTGTTTTTAGAATAAATCATCATTTACATAAATTATTATAAAATTCTACACGAGCTCCAAAACTTCCCACGTTAAGAACGAGTCTAAGACCCCATTCCCAGAGATTAGATCGATCCAAACTAGATCGACCTAACTCCCTGGGGTTCACGCTAAATAGCTGTCAGCCGAGCGGGCACGAAAGTTAATTAAACCCATACGGCTTGTAGTAGGTGGGACGGACATTTAAGCCGGATTATCTGACAGTAATCTAGTGAGACTCCCCACGGGGATAGATCGATCTAAAATCTATGGGAATACGCCCTAATACTCATGGATTTTCAACAATGTAAAGGATTATACTTACATACATGTAGGGTGCAAGCGAGAGCACATAATTTATGCGCTGAAGTTCTGCAAGCAAAATAAATGTCAGAACAGTAATACTGTGATAAAATTATTTTATTTTAAACTGTTAAGCTTAACTTGAACATAAGAAACGTTTCTCAGAGTAAGAAATAAAAAATGTTCATCATAAGAGCCAGAAACCGAATGTTTGTTTTGCCTCAAAATTGTTGGAGATTAGATAGGTGTAATTTATAGGTTTAGTTAGGAGGAAAACGAGTTAGTATTTCATTCTTCACATCATGCTTTACAGCGCACATTATATGCAATAAGACAAAGTATAGTTCAATAACTGAAAAGTAGCTCAAAATGTGCTGGATACAGTGTTGTACATGCACAGGGTGAATTTTACTGGCAAGTCCAAATGTCAAATAATTAAAAAAATTTCACACAGCTATACCTTTAAAATTTCAGTATGTCCATAAACAATCGCCGATAATCGTTACGTTAATCTCATTTTATGTTTTCTCGTAGTCAACACTTTGATGAAATCCTTTGTATTTTTGATATCTTTGCTTTACCCGTATTTTTAATTGTTAACTTATCATGTGAAGTATCTATCTATCTATATGCAAAGGACGAAGTGAGGATGCCACTGTTAGATCGTTAATAAAGGATTTATTTTCAATCCAAGTCACTATTTTGTGTACATGCCTAGGAACCAATAAAATATACTGATTGTGTTATGTCTTAATGAGTAAAAAAATGTTCCAAACTTTTTCTATGAAGAGCACTGAAATGGTGCATTTCTTTGTCAGGGTAAAACGGAGAAGTATAGTTACTAATGTTGAAAATATAGAACAAAAAGATGCTGTTCTTTAATGTAATCACCTTGTTCAGGAAATACCAGTCAGATTCCTTTACAAGCCATTACGTGGTATGTATACAGATCAAATACGTATCAATTTAGTCAAAATGTTGCACTTCTGATTGATGACAAAAAGCGTGCATTTACAAAAAACATCTCAACACCATTTTACAGCGTAGATTATTAAGAATAAGGGGCCCACATTCCCCTCTATTGTTCTAAGTAAACGTGCATTTAAACGACTCCACCTTAAAGGGATAATAACTCTTTGTATGAGATCTATATTTCACAATAAAAACATTGTGAATAACTCATAGAAATATAATATATTCTGTTTTACGACAAAAACAGCAGTTATAGCTATTATTCTGTTATCTGAGCTTTTCTTTAGACCACGTGACCTCCATTGATGGCTGTACTCAGTTATAATTTCTTAAGAGATTTTAACAAAAAACCAAACTTTTTAGAAAAAAAAACTGGGACTAACTTTGATTGTAAAAATGGATTCATTAACCATTGGTAAATATGGGAAAATTGTTGTTTACTCCAGGAAAATTCATTTTTTGGCCGAAACGAAGAGCTATTATCCCTTTAATATTGCTGGTTATTCTGTAACTTCTTTGCAAAAAATTATTTCCGGAAAGATGACTGATATTTGAAACGATTTATATACAAATTGACCACCAAAGAAAACTGCAGCATTTAAGGGTCAACAATTTACACGTACCTCTGCAGAAATAAACTAACTGATAAACTTCATGAAAAATAGAGACAATCTTTCGATCAATAAATTATAGTCACGCCATTACCAAGATCTTTGGCTGGTATGATTAGCATTTATTTTAATGTCGACAATAAGAGTTGACCTTGAACTTAAAGTACGAGTGTTCTTAAAGAACCTCAATATCCGTGGCTTTATTCAATCAGTAGTGCCCTTTTGTGCAAAAGCATTCACAAATACGTATTCAATCAACAGGTAGGCCTACTCGGTAAGTGCACGAGACTATACTATAGTGGTTCCTTCGAACCTCAAAGTGATAATGAAACAAAATTAATTTAATACTGGATCTTGTGTTGAAACGGAGATCACGAACTTACTACAACTTTTCGACAAGGCCTTAAGGTGAACTGATTTTGAGTTGTCACCAGGGTCACGTAGTTACGGTCTGTGTAGGTAAGCCTCCCTTTCATAAAAAATGTCTAATAGACTTGGGGAAATTTCCAATCACTTTGGTTTTGTAACAACATATAAACCATTCAACATACCCAAGAAACCAGTAAGTCCATGTGAAAGAGAGAATGCTGAGAATAAAATATCTGAGGAAAAGTAACGGTGTTAAGTGTAAGGACATTGACCGGCAGACTGCAAAGGCTCATGTGTGGGAGTATCAAAACGGTCTATAATAAGCAGAACGCTTAATGTATATGTCTCCGCATTATTCACCCACCAACAACACCCCTCTGATACTTTTGACACTTCGACGTTATGATCCTCGCCAAAGAGACGGACTGGTTCAGACTGTCCACTCCCATAGCTCACGTCCGTCTTCCTAGTTCTCCCAAGTGGTCTCTCTGGTAAATCTTCACTCTAGGTATTAACTCCTTATATCCTAATTTCTTATCTGAGGTCCAGTGCTGCACTATTTCGTGGTGCATGCATACTAATTTTAATTACTCAAACTGCACAAGAACACTTGCATTATATAATTACATGCACGATCATAAAATGCTCCTAGTGAACAAACAAGCGACTCCATTAAATTTATTTACAAGTCTGGTGGTTATTTTTGTGAACTGAACAGCCGGGTCATGGGAGACATTCCGCTCAGACTGTGACTACGTGACACCTCCGGTGACACCTCCAAGCAGTTCACCTTGACAGGGACAGCACCTTGTTAAAGGTCGAAACGTTTGTGATCTCCGTTTCAACGTAAGATCCAGTATTAGACTAATATTGTTTCATTATCTTTGTCCATTTAACCCTTAATTGTAACTCCTTGATTGTATAGACTTGTATGTGCGATCTTGTGGGGTTTGATATCGAAATTCTAGATTATACAGTAATATTGATATCTTACATATCTCATTATTACGCATTAAGTACATGTATATACATGTACATAGAGCATTCCAGGGGATGCAGTGGGGTGGGGTGGTGGGAGCACTCCCTCTGCTTTTCCAAACAAAATGGCGGATTCAGTCATCGTTCGGTGACCTTTTCAAGGGAGAGTCAGTACACACATATGGCGATCAAAATACTGTTTCATGTACTCGGCTTGGCAGAATTAGCACTAGGCCTACTTGTGCCATTTACTCTTAACAGTTTCTTTGCCTGGCGGAGAGGGTTTTTGTAACCTATCCTGGATATCTATAAGGGGCCGGGGAAAATGTGGGTCTGTAGATTATGCGAGCACGTTAGAAACAAGGGTTCATTTCCAATGAAACTATCAATCTACGTAGATCGATCCAACTCCGCGGGAACTCTCGCTGAATGCGATCAGATCAGCAGATTTACAATACTTCTCTGCCCTCCTCTGGCGTTGAATAGAATACAGAAAAGCTGGTGATTATACGAGTACGTTGGAAACAAGGGGAGACTGATTGCATTCAGCGAGATTCCCCATGGAGTTGTATTGATATGGGAATGAGCTCTATGAGGTCTATTTAGGCCTTGAACTAATTTGTCTAGTAAATGCCATGCATATTACTTTTGCATAAACATCTACAACCGTTGACCACCTCCCCTCACCTACCCCCATTCCCAACCACCATGAACCCACTACTTCCAACTGTCAGGAGCATATAATAGACTTACTTCTTTTCAATATTTCAGTCCAGCTGACACAATGGTGTTTGCGTTAATCAGAAATTTCTTTCGCACAATATATCTCCTTGTTATGGACTTGTACCACTTTCCCGAAGTTCGTAATATGGTCAAATCAGTTTTGCTCGGTTGGAGACAAGCAGGAAAGAGGATAAAGTTGACGGACAGCGAGGGGAATAGCTTCAGAGCAGTCGTCGTTAAGGGAATTCACTTACATCCATTTCCTCTTGTAGAAAGTAACATTAACAATTATGTCAAGTTTCACGCTCGTGAGGATGATGTCTGGATAGTGAACTGGCCTAAATCAGGTAAACATACACACACACACACACACACACACACACACACGCCATAAGAGAGAGAGAGAGAGATGTGCTATATTCGAGACAAAATACCAGATTTATCAATCTACTCACCGTGCCTCTTTTTTGGGAGTTCATCCCTTGAACAAGTTTTAATTAAATATAATTCTAAATGATATTGTTTTAATTAATGGTACAAAAATTCTGAGAATGTCTTTTTAGTAATATAAATATTTGCCGAACTTTATATATCTGTAATAGTATGAACTTCTCATTAGGAACACATTGGGTGTATGAAGTGGTTAAACTGCTCATAACGGGACGGGAAGAACTCACTGACAGCATAAAAGAAGGTACCATGTTCCCAGAGGCGTGCGCTGTGGAGTCCCTGGAAAAACTGCCGTCGCCGAGGGTTTTAGATACACATGTGCCGCTGAAGCTGTTTCCAGAAGAAGCATTGAAGCAATCTAAGATTATATACACAATACGGAATCCAAAGGACGCCTTCGTATCCTCATATTATCATATGAAAAACAACAAAGGCGATTTGTATGATGGAACTTGGAACGGGTACTTCGACTTAACTATGGACGAAAATACATGTAAATATATAGAAAACGTCTTTCATAACACAAGAATGAATAACCTTATATGCAAATTTTAACCTTATTTGTAAAAAAAAACTTCATTTTTGCTAAAAATCTAGTATTTTCACAACTGCTTCATGTTCCCTGACACAAATCTGGCCAAAATAAACTTTTTGAAAATTGTTTCACGTGGAGAACATTTTCGGCGAGAAATGTGAAAACTGATTTCGATTTTGCCTTCCATACCATGTTCTGTATACTCAGTACTAATGTCTTTTCGTTATTTTTTAAGTTAAAACGAATGTATCATTTATTTATTTATTTATTTATTTATTTATTTATTTATGCCATATAATGCTTATTAACTATAAAACTGGTTTAATTTTGATACTGAAAATTGGCCCATATCTTAAAATTTATTTGTTTTTCCATTTATGATAAATATGTATTTAAATATTGCTAAACATGAAAAAATAGAAGAGTTCATGCAATGTCTGCAATGCCATTCTTTCAATTAGGTTTGTACGGATCTTGGTTCGACCACGTTGCAGATTGGATGGAAGTTTTAGAAAATAACCCCAATGCCTTGGTGGTCAAATATGAAGACATGAAGCGGGTATGGCAGTTAGCCATTTTATTTTTCTCATTTCAATTTATTCATTATTACTAGCATTACAATCTTAAAAACCCGGTTCGCAGCAGCTAGGCTTTTGTCAAGAAAGGAGACTGCTTTTCGTGTACATAACTGGTTTATCGAGGTCATATTAGTTTGATATTGTCGAAAAAATGAAGGACATATGCCTGTATCCTGACGTTCATGCTGTATTAGAAACTGACAGAGTCCAAAAATCAGAGTAATATTATTGAAGTTCAGGAATTCTACAAGTGCATAGGATTTTATTCGAAATTTTTAACTTTTATTTAAATAAGTGAACGTTCCAGTGCGTTTGTGGGTAAGAGAGATGGGGAAAGAGACTAACAAAAACATCTCCAAATCGTTCTTTTCAATTTCTAGGACCTTAAAAAAGAGGTACGCCGCATTGCAGAATTTCTAGGTTATCCCAAATCCGAAGAGGTCTACGAAAATGTGACTACAAAGTGCTCTTTTGGGCACATGAAGAAAGCAAAGAAAGAACCGAAATCTTTTTGGAAACCAGGAGGCAGCATGTACAGAAAAGGTAAGAGAAGCCCATTTTAACCTTTTATATAGCAGGCAAGTGCAAGTGTCATGTTCTATTGATTTCTAGTTGTAAAGTTATAGACTAGTAATATCAGATACATTTTATTTATTTATTTATTTATTTATTTATTTATTTTTGTCTTTTTGTAGGTATTGTTGGTGACTGGAAGAACCATTTCACTGTAGCGCAAAACGAAAAATTTAACACCATCTTCAACGAGAAACAAAATAAGCTGAGAGTGAGCGTTGACTTCGAGCTTTGAAGAGTGCATTTGGGTCAATAGTTAACAGTCAACAGTGTAGTTCAATGACACGTTTTCATTTTTGTTCATCTAGGGAGTTTAAGGCGTTTTTTTTTTGAGGACGTAAGCACAAAATATAATTTTCGTCGAGAAAAGTTCTGGATCATTGCTTGAACCAATTAGATGTTTATGCCAATTCGTACTACATAATTAGTTTTCAACAAAACTATACGTATTGCATACCTTTAATTTGTGATCTTATATAACCATTTCGAGTGACAAGTTTCCTTGAAATCGGTACTAAACACGCGTTAATTTAAATGCCAACAAAATTTTTATCGTTAAATATAAAACTTCATTGTAAGTGTCGTTGTTTTTAGAAAAAAATCATTTTTATCATAAATTAATAAAATGCAGCACGAGCTACAAAACTTCTCACGTTATACAAAGGCTTATCACATCTTATGCTCTGAAATGCTGCAATCAGAATAAATATCAGAACAGTAAGTCTGTGATATTTTTTTTTAATTAAAAACCTTTAAGCCTTACTTGAAGATAAGAAACATTTCTTTTGTAAAAAAAAAATAGAGAAAGTCAAACTATATCATTAGATCCAGATACTGAACGTTTGTTTTGCCTCAAAACTGCCTAAGATTAGATAGGTGTAATGTATAGGTTTATTTGCAAGAATACGATATAGTGTTTCATTTTTCATGCCATGCTTTTCAATGCATATTATGCTGCAATAAAATACTACAGTTCAATAACTGACAAGCAGTCGAACTACTTTGCTTTTAGTTTGCTGGGTTCATGCACAGTTCGAATTTCAGGTAGAGTATAAATTTAACTTGCAAGTCCAAATGTCAAATAATTTACAAAATGATCACAAAGCTGTACCTTTAATACTAAAGTGTGTCCATAAACAAGCGTGACGTTTAATAATCTCTTTGTACATTTTCTCGTGGTCATCAGTTCGATGATCTCTGTATTATTGATATCTTTGCTTTACCAGTATTATGCATTCTTATTATTTGAAGTAAGTTCACGTATGTACATATCTATATGCAAAAGACAAAGTCAAATTGCCATTGTTAGAACATTAATAAAGGTATTATTTTCAATCCAAGTCGCCCCTTCGTGTACATGTCTGAAAAACCAATACAGATATACTGATTATTTTATGTTTTTTATCAATGAAAATGTTCCAAACATATACTATGAAGGACACTCAAATAGTGCATTTTTAGCCAGGGTAAAATTGAGATAAAGAGCTATTTTAATATATTTTAATATATCAAAATGCTTTAAAAAAAGAATTTTTTTCTTTAATTTCAATACATTGTTTTAGAAATACTAGTCAGATACCTTTACCACCCATTTCGTAGCATGCATACAGATCAGATACGAATCATTCATACCAAATGTGACACTTCTGATTCAGAACGAAAATAGCACATATGACTGCATTTAAACAAAAAAAAAAAAAAAAAAAAAAAAAAAAATGACAGTTTAGATGATAACAAAAGGGCCAATTTCTACTGTTCTAAGTAAACATGTGGTCAAGACGCCTGCCTCTTTACATTGCTTGTAATTCTCCTTTGCCGAAAAAATTTGTATTTCCGAAAAGATGCTTGGTTTTTGAAACAATTGGTATACAATGTTTCCATCAAAGAAAACTGCAGTATTTAAGAAAAAACAGTTACCATGGATTATACAAATGAAAACAACTAATTTCGTTTGACTCTTGAGTTACCGTTTTGAAATAAGACATTCTATTACAATTTGTCGAGTTTTGGCAATATTGCACGAAAACCTTAAAGTCGACAGTGACAGCCAAAGCTGCTTCCCCGGATAATAGCAATACTTGTCAAAAGTGTATTTATTTATAAATTCCAGTGTAACGAAACTGAGGGTTCGTTTAACAGAAAGTCCGCCCTTCATTTCGTTTATAACGCTTAGGGTTAACCTGTCCTAAATGGGTCAAAATCTAGGGTGATGTCTGCCTGTACACATGAATGGAAAGCAGACTCTCCATCAATGGGAACTGACTATCACGTTACACCGGTTCCTAATATACTTTTTTTTTGGGGGGGGGGGGTGACGTTTCCCTTGGCAATTTTAAAGTAGTACATGTAAACTTACTATAATGTGGCGGGTTGCCGTGATAGTAAAATTGTGTAGTTTTGCCTATTTTCGCCTATTTTCGACTGTTCGTTATTTATTTATTTTGAAAGTGTACCTCCCAACAAACAAACTCACAAAAACAGATCGAAACATCTGGTATAGAGACACAAACTATCGACCAATCAACATGTCGTTACCAATCAGGCTAGCATGATAAGCAGTTTATCTAGTGTCAAAGATAAGACTTTGAACTTAAAGTTCTAGTGCAAACAATCTGGTTTGGTTCAAGTGAAGAAACAAAGCTTATCATTCGTTGTTTTTACATGTGCAAAGATCATCCCACTTACAGCTAGACTAGTCCACAGGTATGAGCAACAAATAATTTCCATGTATGTACTCATTATGTACCTGTATAGGGCTTAGTGAGATTTTATAGCGAATTTTTTCTTTGTCAACGCAGACATTCTGTGTCAGTATATACCCTGTACATGTACCTAGACCAATGCAGGGAAGGCACGCTGGGTGCAGCGGTGGTGGTGGTGGTGGTGGGGGGGGGGAGTTTTCCAAAACAAAATGGCGATTCAGTTCTCGGTTCTCTGTCCAAAGGGGAAATAATGTACAACCTGATAACAGGGTCTTGTTTTATGTATTTACTGTAGTTTGGCAGACTTTTTATTATGAATAATATTTTTTGTGGGGGGTGGGGGTGGAGTACAAAATACCCCATGATCCATCCCCATTCCTGGGTCCATAAAGCGTTGATATCTAATCATATTTTGTACTTCGTCGTATATATCATGAATATTTTTCAGATAGATATAACTTGTTAAACATAACCTTTACTCCGACTTCCATTGCAGCATCTTTCAATTCTTTGTATTTAAGGCCAGCTGTTATGATGGTGTTTGCGGCGATCAGAAAATTCTTTCGCTCAATATACCTCTTTGTTATGGACTTGTACCACTTTCCCGAAGTTAGGAATATGGTCAAATCAGCGATGCTCGATTGGAGAAAAGCAGGAAAGCATAAAAGGTTGATGGACAGCGAGGGGAATGGCCTGACTGTAGTCGAAGTTAATGGAGTCCACTTACCGCCATTTCTTCTTGTAGAAAGTAACATTAACAATTATGACAAGTTTCACGCCCGTGAAGATGATGTTTGGCTAGTGAACTGGCCTAAATCAGGTAGATAAACACACGCACATGGGCTCTCTCTCTCTTTCTCTCTCTCTCTCTCACACACACACACACACACCACACGCAGAGAGAGAGAGAGAGAGAGAGGGTGAATAGGTGGCTTGTGAGATCTTATCTTAAATCAACAAACTCGGCAAATAGTTTACCATTTCATGTGCGGAATGCAAATTGTAAAAGAAATTGGGAATGGTAACATTCACTCAGTACGGTAAATGAGATATTTGGAACTCAAAAGCTGGTCTATTGTTCATAGTTTTCTCGAATGTTTTGGGGAGGGGATTCCTTTTTAATGAATGAATTTATGAAACTAAATGAAAATTCCTTTTTTTTTCAATATAAAGGTATCTTGAGCTTTGTATACCCTTAAAATCTCACTAGGAACACATTGGATGTGCGAAGTTATTAAACTAATCATGACAGCATAAAAGAAGGCACCATGTTCCCGGAGGCGTGCGCTGTAGAGTCCTTGGAAAAACTGCCGTCGCCGAGGGTTTTAGATACACACGTGCCGCTGAAGCTGTTTCCAGAAGAAGCATTGAAGAAATCTAAGATTATCTACACACTACGGAATCCGAAGGACGCCTTCGTGTCTGGATATTATCATATGAAAAACGACAGATCGCTGGTGGGATATGAAGGAAGTTGGAACGGGTTTTTCGAATTATTTATAAACGAAAATACAAGTAAATATATAATTTGGCAAAGAATTTTTTTTTTCAAAAATGTGACATAAAAAGCAAGACTGAATCACCTATCATACAATGTTCAAATTTACTTTCAAAAAAAAAAGTTTTGTTTTTATTGAAATGTAGGCCTACTTACATTGACATCTGTTTGTGACATATTTCCTGTTAAAATTAACTTTTTAAATTAAGAATTCCTTCCATTTTTAAGTTAGAAGACATAAGGTAAAAATATGGCGTGAAATATGAAAAGGTTTCCACATCACCTTCTCAGTGCCTAATACTTAATTCACATTATTCATTCTTTTTTAAATCATGATATTTAATTTGGTTTATTTGCATATTCAACATGCTTGTGCGATATAAATTTACAATACAATATAATCAAACACAAAATTAATTTCATTTAGATATTGCAAATTCGCCCAAATGCCAAATGTATCTTTTTTCCCCATATATGATTAACATAGTTAAAAAGGGAAACATGTCCATGCAATGTCTGCGTTTTTATCTTTTTCACAAAAAGGTGTGTACGGATCTTGGTTCGACCACGTTGCAGATTGGATGGAAGTATTAGAAAATAACCCCAATGCTTTGGTGGTTAAATATGAAGACATGAAGCGGGTAATGCAGCTAAACATTTTTATTTGAAATTATTCGAAATTATAATTCTTCTCTTTAAGGTCGGTTTACACCAGCCAGATTTTGTTAAGCAAGGAGACAACGAGTGCATAATTAGTTTATCTAGATTTTATCAATTTAATGTGTGTGTGTGGGGGGGGGGGGGGGTTAGTGTGTGTGCGAGAGAGAGAGAGAAACTGATCACAAATAAACGTTTCCAAAAAACAAACTTTTCAATTTCTAGGACCTGAAGAAAGAGGTACGCCGCGTTGCAGAATTTCTAGGTTATCCCAAATCCGAGGAAGTCTACGAAAATGTGACTAAAAAGTGCTCTTTTGGGCACATGAAGAAAGCAAAGAAAGAACCGAAATCTTTCTGGAAACCAGGAGGCAGCATGTACAGAAAAGGTAAGAGAAACCGATTTTACCCTTTTATATAGCAGGCAATTGCAGCTGTCATTTAGCATATTTAGTTGTTACGTTATAGACTATTAATGTCATGTTTGTCGGGAAAACGCATTTTATTTATTTATTTATTTATTTATTTATTATCATAAATTTTGTCTTTTTGTAGGTATTGTTGGTGACTGGAAGAACCATTTCACTGTAGCGCAAAACGAAAAATTTAACACCATATTCAACGAGAAACAAAATAAGCTGAGAGTGAGCGTTGACTTCGAGCTTTGATGAATGCATTTGGGCCAATAGTTAACAGTCAACAGTGTAGTTCAATGACACGTTTTCATTATTGTTCATCTAGGGAGTAAAGGCTTAGACATGTATTATGCTCTGAAATTCTGCAATCAGAATAAAATCCAGAGCAGTATTACTGTGATAAAAATATTTTATTTTGCAATCTTCAAGCTGTACTTGAGGATAAGAAACATTTCTTATAGTAAAAAAAATTAAGAATGTTTAATTATTTCATTAGATCCAGAAACTGAGTGTTGGTTTTGCACCAAAAACTGCTTGAGACTAGATGGGTGTAATTTACAAGCTTAATTTGAAGGACTGAAGGATAGTATTTCATTTCTCATGCCATGCTTAAAAGCTCATATTATGCAGCAAAAAGACACTATAGTTCAATATCTGAAAAGCAGATGAACTACATGTACTTTGCTTATAGTCTGCTGGTTCATGCCCTGTGCGAACCACAGGTCGAGAATAAATTTTGCTTGCAAGTCCACATGTCAAAAAATTAACAAAATGTTTACAAACCTATACATTAAAATTTTATGTGTGTCTATAAATAATCGTGATGTTGATCTATTTATGAAAACCTTTGTATTATTGACATTTTTGCTTTACACGCATTTTATATTTTTCATGTGAAGTAAGTATCTATCTATCTATCTATTTATCTATCCATATGCGAAGGACGAAGGCAAGATGCCATTGTTAGAACATTAAGAAGATGATTATTTTCAATCCAAGTCGCCCCTTTCTGTACATGTTTGAAGAACCAATACAAATATGCTGATTGTCTTATGTATTTATCAGTGCCAATGATCCAAACATATACTATGAAGGACGCTCAAATAGTGCCCTTTTTGCGAGGGTAAAACAGAGAGAAATAGCTGTTACAGCTTTAAAAATCAAATTTAAAGTAGTTGTGCTTTACTTTGATTACATTGTTCTGGAAATACTAGTCAGATACCTTTACCACCCATTTCGTGGCATGCATACAGATCAGATACGAACCATTCATACCAAATGTGGCACTTCTGATTCAGAACGAAAATAGCACATTAGACCGCTTTTAAACAAAAAAAAAATCCTGAACATTTAAACATCATTTTACAGTGTAGATGATAACAAATGGCTTAATTTCCCCTCTATTGTTCTAAGTAAACGTGTTTAAAACACCTGCCCCTTTACATTGCTGATAATTCTGTAAATCCTTTGCCGAAAAAAAGTATTTCCGGAAAGATGGTTGGTATTTGAAACAATCTGTATACACTATTTCCAGCAATGAACACTCAGCATTTAAGAAAAACATTTACCATTAATTGTTCAAATGAATACAACTAATTCCGTTTGGCTTTTGGGTTGCCGTTTGGAAATAAGACATTCTATTACAATTTTTCGAGTTCTGGCAATATTGCGCAAAAACCTTAAAGTCGACAGTGACAGCCAAAGCTGCTTCCCTGGATATGCTGCGAAGGCTCCACAGAAAATCTAAAATTATAATAACTATAGTTATAGTAATAGTGAATGTATTTACTAATTCCGGTGTAACGAATCTGAGTGTCCGTGTAACAGAAAGTCCGCCATCCATTTAGTAATAATGGTTAGGGTTATTGCCTGACCTAATTGGATCAAAATCTAGAGCGAGGCTTACCTGTATAAATGAATGGAAAGCGGACTCTCTATCATTGAGAACTCCCAGTCATTGATAATAACATTGTATGGTTTTGCCAAGATTCGCCTGTCATTGTTATTTATCTATTTATTATTTTATTTATTCTGAAAGAGTACCTCCCAACAAACAAAGTGACAAAACAGACACAAACTATCGACCAATCAACATGTCGTTACCACTCAGGCTAGCATGATAAGCAGTTTATCCAGTGTCGAAGATAAGACTTTGAACTAAAGTTCCAGTGCAAACAATCTGGTTTGGAGTAAGTGTAGTAACTAAGCTTATCATTCGTTGTTTCTATATGTGCAAAGAACATTTGACCAGTCAGGTATGTTCACCCGATAACGTCCATTTAAGTACTAATTATGTACTTGTATAAAGGACTTGATGGGATTTTAAAGCGAATTTGTTCTTAGTCAAAGCAGACATTCTGTGTCAGTATATACCCTGTACATGTACCTAGACCAATGCAGGGGATGCATGCTGGGTGCAGCAATGGGGGGAGCTTTCCAAAACAAAATGGCGAGTCGGTTCTCGGTTCTCTGTCCAAAGGGGAAATGATGTACAACCTGATAACAGATCTTGTTTTATGTACTAACTGTAGTTCGGTATATAGAGACTAGCGGCACCTTTTATTGTAAATAATATTTTGCGGGGGGTGGGGTTGGAGCACACAATACCCCAAGCCCCATCTCCATGCCTGGGTCCGGTCCAGCGTTGATATCTAATCATAAACTCGTGCTTCATTGTATATTTGCCAAGCATATTATTCAGATAGATATAACTTGTTAAACATAACCTTAGATTTTTCAACCCACCCCACCCCACTTCAGCCTCCGTTGCGCCATCCTTCGATTCTTTCTATTTCAGGCCAGCTGTCACAATGGTGTTTGCGGCGATCGGAAATTTCTTTCGCTCAATATACCTCCTTGTTATGGACTTGTACCACTTTCCCGAAGTTAGGAATATGTTCAAGTCTGTCATGCTCGGCTGGAAAAACGCAGGAAAGCGTAAAAGGTTAATGGACAGCGAGGGAAATGGCCTGACTGTAGTCGAAGTTAACAGAGTCCACTTACCGCCGTTTCCTATTGTAGAAAATAACATTAACAATTATGACAAGTTTCACGCTCGTGGGGATGATGTGTGGATAGTGAACTGGCCTAAATCAGGTACATACATACACACACGCACAGGGGTACACACACGCGCACACACACACACACACACACACACATATACAGAGAGAGAGAGAGAGAGAGAGAGAGAGAGGGACGAGTGAGATTCTATCTTTCTTTAATCAACAAACTCAGCAAATAGTTCGTTATTCCATGTGCAGAATGCCATGTGTGGCTAAAACGTGCACGCACGCGTGCACACACATTTACTTAGCCTGTTACACGGCAGAGTACAGGCGTATTGTTACTCTTGTCCTGTTTAACTCGTAAATATTGTAACAGTGTGTGTGTGTGTGTTTTTACTGGTACAAAATGTAGAAGCTTTTTCGAAATTATTTATTTAGGCCTACTTGTGGAATTTCATTCGTTCTTACTGACCCAAGACCTTTTCTTTTTTCTTTTTTTTTTTTTTTTTTTTGT